ATTTAGGTGCTAATATCAACCACAGCCGTATTGTCTTCTGTGGTTACGCTACCATTAGTGTACAATTTTGTGCAAGCGATGCAAACCCATATGTCAAGCGAATTGGATTACTGTAGAGTGAGTTTTCCACCCTTCAGCCCATAAAAAATTAGCTACCCGGACCTAATCACCAATTCTGATTTGCAGGCGAAAACCAGAGACCTATGGGTGGACGTGTTTGCAGCGCAAGATTCATTGAATATTCATCGAGCACAGTCACTTTCTGAGAAAGCGGAATCAAGAGTGCGAAGGGAATGGTCATTTGGGCGATGGATCGAGAAAGGAGAAAGCAATGGTGAGTCGATGATGAGACGTTAAGCTGAGGAGAATGGGACCTTAATACTCGAATTCAGAATATGGTGGTAGTGCTTCCTCGTCCACTCGTCCTTTGGGCTATGAAGATGTGAAAGTCACTGGAGTTGAGCAGGGAACTTGTAAGTGGGATTGCATCTTTTACCTGGTCATTGTACCCTCTTACCTTCAGGCTGCACCTGTCAACAAGGCCCAGCAGGCCCTCCAGGACCTCCTGGGGACGATGGCTCGGATGGTCTCGATGGGCAACCTGGACGTAACGGCAAACCTGGTAGAAATGGAGTTGTTCTACCAGCTCTTGGTGCACCACCAGAACCATGTATAATCTGCCCACCTGGACAACCTGGACTACCCGGAGCGGTGGGACCCAAAGGACCTCCAGGTCCTCGCGGTAGTCCTGGAATACCTGGAAGCGTGAGTCTACCAAGTATCCGACTATTTTCATTAGTTTGAGTTTTGTTACCTTCAGAACGGAAAGAAGGGTGAAGTAGGTATTATTGGCCCTCGTGGACCCACCGGACGACCAGGCAGGCCGGGAGCCAAGGGTCCTAAAGGGGAGCCTGGAAGAGTCATACTGGTAGGCATGATTGTCGATTTACCCTAACTCTTAACGCAAATGCCTATTTGAGGTCGCCGGCCCTGCGGGACCACCAGGTACGCCGGGTGAACCTGGTCCCCGTGGACCAAAGGGAGAAAAAGGAAAACCGGGAGTTCCTGGCACGCCAGGGCAGCAAGGAGGCCCAGGAGGTAGGACCACCAAATTTTTGGGAATTTTGGGAATTCGCACCAGCTGCTATAAGAAAATGTGTTTAGATCGTGGGAATCCTGGAACACCTGGACGACCAGGACAAAGAGGGGAACGCGGCATACCTGGGGAACCTGGAGTGAATGGATCATGTGACCACTGTCCTACGCCAAGGCTACCAC